AAAGTCTTGTTAATTTTTTTCTGTATACAATAAGGACAGACTACTTCTTTAGGAACCTTTTCTCTATAGGCTATTGTTGGGTAAAACATTTTGGAGAAGCAAAGACCTTTTCCAGGTTGGGCCAATCTAGATGGCAAAATGCAATAGGGACATGCACTGGAAAAGTCTTTTGAGGGCTCTTCAGAGAACCCAGGCAAATATCTTTAGGTAAAGCCAATGCAGGTAGCTTTGACTCCAGGAATGTGCAGACTGCATCAATAAAGATTTGGCGTGGTATCCTTAAATTTTGGAGTAATGTATAGTACAATCTCTCCTTATCTATGGCTAACTATGCAAAAGCAACTGCAGCTTCAGAGAATTCAGAGATGGACTTTTGAGGAGTTAGCGTGGAATTATGCTTGTGACCTCTGCATTCTGAGTCAACTATCATGGCTGCAATTTTGCCCATAAACTCAGGAGCTGAAAATTCTTCCCCAGACAATACCAAGGATGGGGTAACCCCTAAAAGGGGTAAAGGTAGACTCAGAGGAGTGCTGCGAAGCTGGCAGAGGACAGTGGAAAGTTTGAAAGAGGGAACAATGCAAAATGCCCTAGCACAGTTAGCAGGTTGCAAGCTGGCCAGAACATAAAGAGACAGCTCACAAGTTCGCTGACTGAGATGGAAGGGTTAATGTTGTCTGTGACCTGGTCACTTGTAAGGTAGCAGGCAGCCCAGGTACCATTCAGAGGATTGCAGCTGACTCAACATGTTGCACATAGGTACCTAACTGAGTACCTTACACAAAGTCCACTGCATAAAGACACATTACAAGCTGGCCCTTCTGCTTTTTCTAAGCAGGTTCATGTATGGCTTCCATGGCAATGCTGAGAATCAGTCAACCTGATTGCATTTGACACAGTTTCCAAACACGGTTAATATGTAAGTTAGTCTACAGGCTTGGAAAATTCAATTTGGAAATGGATAGAAAACTGGCTACAAGACCTTATTTAGAGAGTAGTGATTAAAGATTATTACTCTGAAAGGTCTAAAGTTATTAGTGTGTACCCCAAAGCTCAGTGTTGGGACCCTTACCCTTGCAAAAGACACAAAGCTATGCAGTGGAATAATGTTTTTATAGGATGTCTCCAATTTACAAGCTGATATTTATGCACTATTTAACTGGGCAACTATTTGGCAAATGAGGTTTAATGTTGATAAATGTAAAGGCACTTGGAAGCTAAACAGTTTGCATGCATTATACATTCTAGGAGGAGGACAGCTGGAGAAGTCAACAGTCAAATATCTGGGTGTTCTGGTAAACCACAAAGTGCATGCAATGCCAAGCTGCAGTTTCTAAAACTAGCAAAATTGTAATAAAAGCGGTATAAACTCCAGAGGGAGAGAGACATAATTTTGCCTTGCCTTGTACAAATCATTATTAAAGCCCAGTACACACTAAAAGAAAATCAAACGCTCGTCTGGTTTACCTCAATTTTTCACAGCAGGTCGAAACCAAAGATGGTACTAACCGTACAAAAATTCTAGTATGACAAAGGCTTTTTTTTGTTTATTGTTTCTGATCATGTGCAGTCTTTTGTATCTGATTTTTCTTGTATGAAAAGTAAACAAAAACAGTACACATTAAACCTACTGTAAATAATTAATTCTATTGACATACAGAAAATTTTTTGTCCCATTGGAAATTTTTGTTTGGAAAGTCTAATCAGATGTCGAAAGTTGTGTACACAATACACAAAAATCAAACGGTCATGCTTCGTACGGAAATTTTTCTTAGTGTGTACCCCACTTAATACCTCATCTGGAATATGCAGTTCAGTTTTGGGCATCAGTTTCCATGAAGGATATCAGAGAACTGGAGAAGGTGCAGAGAAGGGCAACTAAACTGATAAGCGGCATGGAGGAGCTCAGCTATGAGATTAGAGGATTAAAAGATTAACTGAACTGAATTTATTCTCTTTTGAGAAGAGGCAATTAAGGGGGAATATGATCACCATGTATAAATACATACAGTGGATATAAAATGTCTACACACCCCTGTTAAAATGTCAGGCTTCTGTGATGTAAAAAAACGAGACAAAGATAAATCATTTCAGAACTTTTTCCACTTTTAATGTGAACTATAAACTGTACAACTCAGTTGAACAACAAACTGAAATCTTTTAGGCGGAGGGAAGTAAAAATAAAAAACTAAAATATTATGGTTGCATAAGAGTGCACACCCTCTTATAATTGGGGATGTACCTGTGTTCAGAATTAAGTAATTACATTCACAATCATGGTAAATAGGAGTCAGTACACACCTGCCATCATTTAATGTTCCTCTGATTAACACCAAATAAAGTTCAGCTGTTCTAGTAGATCTTTGCTGACATTTTCTTAGTCGCATCCTACAGCAAAAGCCATGGGCTTCGCAGAGAGCTTCCAAAGCATCACAGGGATCTCATTGTTTAAAGGTATCAGTCAGGAGAAGGGTGCAAAAGAATTTCCAAGGCATTAGATATACCATGGAACACAGTGAAAACAGTCAACATCAAGGAGAGAAAATATGGCTTAACAATGACATTGCCAAGACTGGACGTCTCTCCAAAAACAAAAAGAAAACTGGTTTGGGAGGCTGCCAAGAGGCCTACAGTAACATTAAAGGAGCTGCAGTAATATCTGGCAAGTACTGGCTGTGTGGTACATGTGACAACAATCTCCTGTATTCTTCATATGTCTGGGCTATGGGGTAGAGTGGCAAGATGAAAGCTTTTTCTTACGAAGAAAAGCATCCAAGCCTGGAAAAAGTTTGGAAAAACACTTCTAAAGTTTCCCAAAAGCATGTGGGAAAATGTTTCATGGTCTGATGAAACCAAGGTTGAACTTTTTGGCCATAATTCCAAAAGATATGTTTGGTGCACAAAACAACATTGCACATCACCAAAAGAACACCATACCCACAGTAAAGCATGGTGGTGGCAGTATCATGATTTGCAGCTGTTTTTTTTCAGCTTTAACTGGGGCCTTAGTTAAGGTAGAGGGAATTATGAACAGTTCCAAATACAATCAATGTTGGCACAAAACCTTCAGGCTTCTACTAGAAAGCTGAACATGAAAAGGAACTTCATCTTTCAGCATGACAACAACCCAAAGCATACATACAAATCAACAAAGGAATGGCTTCACCAGAAGAAGATTAAAATTTTGCAATAGCCCAGCCAGAGTCCAGACCTGAATCCGGTTGAAAATCTGGGGGGTGATCTGAAGAGGACTGTGCACAGAAGATGCCTTTGCTACCTGACAAATTTGGAGCGTTTTTGCAAGGAAGAGTGGGCAAATATTGCCAAGTCAAGGTGTGCCATGCTGATAGACTCATACCCAAAACGACTGAGTGCTGTAATAAAATCAAAAGGTGCTTCAACAAAGTATTAGTTTAAGGGTGTGCACACTTATGCAACCATATTATTTTGCTTTTTTATTTTTACTTCCCTCCACCTAAAAGATTTCAGTTTGTTGTTCAACTGAGTTGTACAGTTTATAGGTTACATTAAAGGTGGGAAAAGTTCTGAAATGAATTATCTTTGTCTTATTTTTTTACATCAAAGAGACCTGACATTTTAACGGGGGTGTGTAGACTTTTTATATCCACTGTAGGTGGCCCACATGTGAACTGTGTAGTTATTCACTTTCGGGTCATTACAGAGGGACAGGGGCATATTTTACTTTTAGAGGAAAAGAGTTTTAACCTCCACATATGGAAAGGCTTCTTCATAGAAAGCTGTAAAAACGTGGAACAGACTCCCTCAAGAACTAGTTCTAACCAGCTCAGTAGACTGTGTTAAATAACTGGATGTAGCATACCTAAAAGCACAAAATATAACTGGATATTAACATTTATAGGTGAAAACACCAGGGATTGTTGATCTGAAGGAATATCTAATTGTCTCATGGATTTTTTTTCTCCTGCTAGTGATAATTGGACTATACATTATTGGCTTCCTTTGGATCAATTGCAGTTATAGGATTGTGTATATGAAGGTTTTCTATTAGTTTATTTTTTTTCTATTGGTTGAACTAGATGGACTTGTGTCTTTTTCATCCTAACTATGAGTCTTGAAAGCTGCAAAATAACTCCCTTCTGTGTGTACAGTGACCTAAGAAACTTGCTAGATGAAAAACGTTGAAAGTTTTTCTTCTTTCAGAAGAGGCAAGATGTCAATTCTCGTAGGTCAATGCCATAAAGGGCTGGGAGTGGCAAGGGTTATACTGGGCTGTGGTTTGTTTTGCCAGTGTACAATCTCCTGAAGGCAACAGCATAACCCAATGTATCTGAATACACATCATGTGTCCCCATAATACAAAATTTATCATGACAAATCTAGTAACAAAGCTAAACCTTTTCTTTGGTTTCCTCCATTTTAAATTTATAAAAGCAAAAAGGCCAGGTTAACAATCATAAGACTGACATTACTATAAGAAAACATTGCAATGCCTGGCTGAAATGGTTCCTTGGAAGACTGGAAAATGGAGCAATATACTTTTACGAAAAAAAAAAAAAAATGATGTCAGGTAGAAAGTCATATCTGCAGCAGTCTCTGCTTTTATGCCTAAATTCCAGGTCACTCTGAAAAACAAAGCTCCGACCTTTTGAAGATTGCTCATTCCCATCCAACTTCTGCACGTTCCTGTTGGTCCACCACTATAATGGACCAAAAGACTCTGACTCGTTACTTTGGGTAAATACTTGTAAAATTGAGGTTGAGCTGCTGAATTCTATAAATAGCAGACCTTTTTAATCAAATAAGCTAAGAAAATGGGGGGAAGAACAAAAGCAGACAGATCTCATCTGCAGCCTATATGTAAAAATGCAAAACAGTCCAATACAATATTTCATAATCACCTGCCAAAAAAAAAGTCTGTTTTTTAGTCCAAACCATAATTAGCTTAACAAAATATACTTTAACGAATATATGTTTTTAAAACCAGCATGCTGTTTTTCATGCAACATTTACAATCTTACCCTGGCATCTGTGACTTTAAACTCTCTTAAAATGTACTGAGGCATGTTGTATTCAGCCATTGGATCCACAACAAAAATATTGATATCGAGCAGATCGCTCCGCTGGCCAATACTGGTGGCACTTTTCCTGTATAATATAGACAGTATATTAAAAGAGGTACAGAAAATATTAAAGATACATGTAAAATCTGCCATTATAAAGAGAAAAGTATTTATGCAGTAGTAGCTAAATTGTTAAAATGGTTGTAAATCCTTATATATACCCAGTAAATGACTGACCTCAGGTGACACACAGATTAAACAAATCCTCCTACATAGGTTGTACCTGTCTATCTACCTTCTCTACACCCATTCAAAGTGCTGAATTAGTTTAACAAAGCTTGACTGAGACTTCAGAAAAAAAGGGGGCTGTGAGCTGAAATTACACTCTGCAGAGCTCAGCGAGGACAATTCTCTAAGCTGACTAGACGGAAGGGACTCTCAACCCTCCCTCCACTCCCCCATTCACACTGCACACAGGAACAGAGCTCAGGCTGTCAATCTCGTAGAGGCCTCTCTCCTGTCACCATTTTTCTCTTGGTGTCAGGAAAACTTGTCAGAAGTGAGTCATGATGATAGCAGAGGAAGGAAGCAATAGGCAGAAATAACACGCAGTGCTTCTGACATTAAGTTTACTTTCACACTGAAAGCAAATACAGGTACACTTTTGCTGCGTATTCGATTGATTTCAATGGGGAGGTGTGTTTTTGGTGCATTTTTTTTCATTGCATTTGCACCAAAATTGCAGCAAGGAAGATTTTAAAAATTGCACCCACAATGGATCAGTGTGAAAAAAAGCGGAAGGAAAACGTGACCATGTATTGCTATGAAACTCTTAACGCAAAAGTGGAAGAAAATTGGATCAGTGTGAAAGCAGCCTTGGTGCTCCTAACAAGTACACACTGTAGAGGGATACACGTTGGTCATATTTAATGTCTGAGGTTTACAACCACTTTAAGTTTACATAGAACACTTGCTTCAATTGCAACATAATATACCGTATTTGCCGGCGTATAAGACGACTGGGCGTATAAGACGACCCCCTACTTTTCCTGCTAAAATGTAGTGTTTGGGCTATACTCGCCGTATAAGACTACCCCTCTTCCAATGCACACCAGTGGGAGGAAGTGCCCCATCATTGGTATCAGTGGGAGGAATAGTGCCCCATCATTGGTATCAGTGGCAGGAATAGTGCCCCATCATTGGCATTAGTGGCAGGAATAGTGCCCCATCATTAGTATCAGTGGGGGGAATAGTGCCCCATCATTGGTATCAGTGGCAGGAATAGTGCCCCATCATTGGTATCAGTGGGAGGAATAGTGCCCCATCATTGGGGTCAGTGGGAGGAATAGTGTCCCAACATTGGTGTCAGTGGGAGGAATGGTGTCCCATCATTGGTGTCAGTGGGGGGGTGGAATAGTGCCCCATCATTGGTGTCAGTGGGGGGTGGAATAGTGCCCCATCATTGGTGTCAGTGGGGGGGGGGGATAGTGCCCCATCGTTGATGTCAGTGGGGGGGGAGGAATAGTGCCCCATCGTTGGTGTCAGTGGGGGGGAGGAATAGTGCCCCATCGTTGGTGTCAGTGGGAGGAATAATGCCCCATCATTGGTATCAGTGGCAGGAATAGTGCCCCATCATTGGCATTAGTGGCAGGAATAGTGCCCCATCATTAGTATCAGTGGGGGGAATAGTGCCCCATCATTGGTATCAGTGGCAGGAATAGTGCCCCATCATTGGTATCAGTGGGAGGAATAGTGCCCCATCATTGGGGTCAGTGGGAGGAATAGTGTCCCAACATTGGTGTCAGTGGGAGGAATGGGTGTCCCATCATTGGTGTCAGTGGGGGGTGGAATAGTGCCCCATCATTGGTGTCAGTGGGGGGTGGAATAGTGCCCCATCATTGGTGTCAGTGGGGGGGGGGGGTGGATAGTGCCCCATCGTTGATGTCAGTGGGGGGAGGAATAGTGCCCCATCGTTGGTGTCAGTGGGGGGGAGGAATAGTGCCCCATCGTTGGTGTCAGTGGAGGAATAGTGCCCCATCATAGGTATCAGTGGGAGGAATAGTGCTCCATCATTGGTATCAGTGACACCAATGATGGGGCACTATTCCTCCCACTGACACTTGCTGACTCTGTTCTCGTATGGTGCTGCTGCAGCCAGCATATGTGGTTGCAGCAGCACCTCTGCACTGACCACTTACCTGCTGGTCCTGCACTCGATTTTCGCGGGGCCGCTCGGCTCCACCCCCTCGCCGGTGATTGGCCGCCTGTGTGCCTTTCCTGAGCTACAGTTCTGGCGGCCAATCGCTGGTGAGGAGGCGGAGCCGAGCAGCCGCGCGAACATCCAGTGGCCGAACTGAAGGCGCTTCCTGGGACCGGAACCAGGTAAGAAATAGCCCCTGCCCACCCCTGTACTTAGTGTCCCTTCCGTTAGGGGAAGGGGGGGGGCGGCGGCGGCACCGCGCCGCGCCCCCCCCCTAAAAAGTGTCAGTATGCCGTATACCGGCGTATAAGATGACCCCCGACTTTTGAGAAGATTTTTAAGGGGTAAAAAGTCGTCTTATACGCCGGCAAATACGGTAATTATAAAACTTTGGTGTAATGCAGATATTATTAACGCCATCCACATAAGTGGGCCTTCTTTTGTGATGCCGTATATAAGTGTACATGCAGAGGCATAACCAGAATCTTCAGGGCCCCGGTGCAAGAAACCGTGAAGGGCCCCCCTGACCCTGCCCCAGGCCCCTTTATTAAGTCCCACAGGGGGACCCTTTCACATGTTCTGCATAGGGTTGCCACCTTTTCTTCAAGCCAAAACCAGACACTTTATCAAAGCACGGCATTGGATCAGAGTCTCCCTATATCAGTATCCCTCCTTAGAGGCCTCCCATTAGATCAGAGTCATCTTATATCAGCCGCCCCTTACACCCCCCATAAGTGCAGACTCACCCCCCCAATTAGATTAGAGTCCCTTTATATTAGCAACCCCCCATAGAGACCTTCTCATTAGATTATAGTCCCCTTATATCAGTGCCCCCCTAGAGACCCCCATTAGATCAGAGTCCCCCTTATATCAGTGAGCCCCCCCCCCCCGAGACTCCCAAGAAGACCAGAGTCCCCTTTTTTCAGTGCCCCCCTTAGGTCAGAGTCCCCTTATATTAGTGCTTCACTTAGAGACCCAAAAAGCTACAAATTGAAAAAATACAGTGCAACCTCCCCCTATAATTATATTAATTCATGTGTGAAAAATAATGATGGTAGAAACCTCAAGGGTAAGTATTAATACATTCCAATCTCATTCACACATATATACTGTGCAATTTTCATAAATATACTATATGAATGGTGGTAGAAACCTCCAATCCATTCCAAAATTGGGTGTGCTAATATCCAACTTCTCCAACTCAAAAGGATTTTATAAGGACTTTATGGATTGTATTAATACTTGGATTACCTTTGGGGGTTTCCACCATCATTCTCAAATATTTTTTCACATATGAATTAGTATAATTATAGTGGGAGGTTGCACTGCATTTTTAAAATTTTTTTAGTTTGAGAACACATCGATGCTAGCAGAAACCCAACAGTGAGTTTATTTACTGAGCTTTTTATTTATTTTAATATCAAAGTCCAGTTATAACAGTGACCCTCCTTCCCCTGAGGACCAATCGTTGATCTCTAAGCGGGGTCTGTGATATAAGGGGACTCTGATATAAATCTGATATAACGGGAGGGTCTCTGGGGGGGTTGCTAATATAAAGGGATTCTAATCTAATTGGGGGGGGGGGGAGTCTGAGCTTATGGGGGGGTCTGTAAGGGGCGGCTGATATAAGATGACTCTGATCTAATGGGAGGCCTCTAAGGAGGGATGCTGATATAGGGAGACTCTGATCCAAAGGGGGGGGGTCTGTACGGGGAGGGGTAACTAACCATTAGAGCAGCAGTCAGCACCCCCCCTAGGGATTCCCATTAGCTCACAGTCCCCTTATATCAGTGCCCCCACCCCACCTTCCTTAGAGACCTCCATTACAGCAGGAAGACCCCCCTTATATCAGCACATGGATTGCCTTACTGGTGGGCCTCAGGAGCAGCTGCAAGCCAGTAAGTGCGGGAGGCAGGAAGCCGTAGTTGAGGGCTGGAGCTGGGAGGTGGAGCGGCTGTGGCTCTAGGGTTATTTTCCTCCCCTCCAGTGTGTGCAGTGTCAAAAGCGTGTCATCAGTTTCACCAATGTCTGCTTGCAAAGGAGATCATTAAGGCAAGGGGAGGCGGGCAGAAAGACAGGTGAAATGGACAGGAACGCAGCCCAGTATCAAAACTTGATACAGCCATTTTGGGGCCCCCCTGCACAGTGGCAGAACTCTAGGGCCCGGTCACAAGTGACCCTGGTAGTTCCACCACTGTGTATATGTGTTTGTGCTGCAAGGTCACTGCACAGCATGCTCCCAGCACACAGACCGGACTTTCGCTGAGCCCTGGGTCTCAAACTAACGATTGGGAACCGGGCCTCCCTTGTGATTTGTCAAAGTTACTATTAATAACAAGACAGAGAATAAGGGAATTCCAAAATGCAATAGTTGCCCCTATAAATAGAAAATCTTCCAATGACACCTATAGTCATAGGATATGTTTTCTGCCTCTCATGTCTGTGGCCCTAAAAGTAAATGAAAAGCTCCCTACTGGGGACACAGGAAGTACATAAATATGGCTGAGATTCTAATCGTTGCACATACTATCCAAAACTATAAAAATATTTTTTGGCTAGAGCTCTGTCTTAAGTTTTAGCAAATATTAACACAAAATACTTGGGCAATAGAAACATACATGAAAGTTTTCATGTTTTTTTAGGCGCTAAAAAAGCAATTTCTCCATACAAAAGTGGTGTGTGAACTACCAGGGAGTAGTATTTCAACTGCGTGAGGAATTTCATCTGGTACATGTTCAAATTAAACCCAATAACCAAGTCAACACATGCAACTTCAGGGCCACTAGACTCATCTGAGCACATCCCCATACCCTCAAAC